AGGAGGAGGAGGAGGAGGAGAGGAGGAGGAGAAGAAGAAGGAGGAGGAGGAGGAGGAGGAGGAAGAAGAAACCGCCAGCCAATCTGACCCCCATTGAAATATCTGGCAACACCCTTTATGCACATCAGTTGACTGTATCTGTGTGTGACTGTGTTTTGTATTGCTATAACAGAATACCACAGACTGAATAATTTATAAAGCAAAGAAGTATGACAGAGCTGATGGTGAGAAAGCAAGTGAGAGGGCCAACACGTACCCCCAGCCCTTTTATTATGGGCATTAACCTTGTCCCAAAGATCCCACCTCTTACTACTGTTGCACTGGGAATTAAGTTTGCAACTCATGCTTTCTGGGGGCACTTTCGAACCACCGCTCTATATTCTGTTCCCCTGACCTATATACCTGCATGGTTGCTTCCACTCTCTTACACCTGGAACTCCCAGCCACTGGTGGTATCAGGTGGGGTTCCTAGCATACCCAGAGCATCTGAAAGCCTCAACACAGGTTCCTGGAGCTCAGGCCCTGACATGTGTCCTACAAAGACTAGTGCCAACAGCATAGATGGCCCAAACTCACTCCAGCTCTTCTCTGGTGGGCTCCCCTTAGAACCTTTCTTTGCTTCTCAGACTCCTAGATAAAAAAAAAAAATGGTCAGCCATTACCCATAAACACCCACCTGGACATCTCGCCCTGCCATCAAACAGACCTGGACTGCGATCAGAGGGCTCGTTCTCCTCTGTGGATTAATTCTTTGCTGCTGACTGAATGCTGGGCTTGGAACCTGGAAGTGTCCCAGAGTGCTGTCTTTTAATCAGCTTTTGCCACTCAAGTTCAATGAATTCCCCTAGGGGAGGTGGCTTTTTGATGAAATTAAGTCAACTGAACTTTCAGGCTGGATTAATTGCTGGCTGAGTTGAGGTCAAGAGCAAAGAGGCAAGGGTATTGTTTAGAGTGATCAGGGAGGTTAAAGAGTTCTGAATTATGAAACCTGTAGTGTGGGGGCCTTCCTCTGAAAGTCTTGGGGACTTCAGGGGATTTCTCTATTTGAAGCTTCTCCTTGGAGTAAAGAGAAGATTTAGCTTATAAAGAATGGTTTTGTAGTCCATGAACAATGTTACGTCACAGAATCTGTGCTACAGAGGAGCCATGCCTCCGAGGATGGTGAGGCAGAGCCTTCTCTGTGTGTGGCTGTATCTACCATGTCCCTAAGCCCAAATGGTCCTTCTGTGCCTCTCCTGGAAGCCAAGCAGCTGCAGATTTGCCCACAAGCAGGACTGTGTGCTACCTTCCATTGGAGGAGGGCTTCTCCCTGAAAATGAAGCCTTTGCTTCCTTTAGTTACCAGAATACATTTGTACCCCTCACCAGCAAACTAGGGAGGGAGTGATGGGAAGGCACTGGGGACAGTAAGTGGCCGGGTCTCAAGGCCATCCCTGCAGTTGAGAATTTGGAACTGCACCCCTCCCCAGCCCTGTGAGGCTGGGCTCTAGACATTCCCCAGCCACTTTGCTATCTGCTGCAGTCTGATGTCTCAGCTCCAGAGGAAGGTAAGCCCAGCTTCACTTTGGAGACTTGATCTGGCCCTGTGGATGTTTTGGGCCCGGCCTCTGCCCCATCCAAGTCCAAAGTCTTGGGTGGTGTATACCTCCCCAGGACATGCATCGAGACCCACTGTCGCACCTTAGGAAAGGCTGTGGCTTCAGGCCTGAGAATGGGGCCTTTTCTGGAGTCCCCCAGATCTGACAGTCTTCTTCCTGTTGCAGCTCCCTGGGAGAAGCGTGGGCCCAAGTGAAGAAGAGCCTCGCAGATGAGGCAGAAGTTCACCTCAAGTTCTCTGCCAAGGTAACGTCTTCCTGCAGGTTAGACCTAGGCTGGTCTCACATGGTGACATGCTGAGAAACGCTTAGCATTCTTACCGGTGTGCAGCGTTGCCCATTTCCGTGGTGTAAATTCCAAGCAATAGACAATCACTGAATGCAGAGTGGGGAAAAGAGGCCCACACACCATCACACAGTGTCCCATTGTACAGACACAGTAACGTAAGTAGCCAGAACTATCCAGAGGCAGTGTAGGGAGGGTGTGGTAAGTGCTGCGTGCTTACTAGTATGTTTTTAATTTATAATTTAATTTTTAGCAATGGCTGTGTTTACCATTCAGCTTGTGGGAGTCAGTGGGAGAGCCGTCTGCGTGGTGAGGGTGAGCATCCCCTAGTTTCTCTGGTGGATCCCTGAGTGTTGGAACCCCACTGTCTCTTTACCACACTTTCAAAGGAACAAATTAACATATTCTTTCTCTGCTTGTTGTCTGGAAATACCAGACAACACCCAAGGGAGAATGTCTTCCTTTTGTTTTATTTGTTTTTGCAGAGTTTCACAGCAGATAAATGACCTTGTTTCATTTGGTTCTAAAAACACTTAGCATCAGGATGTTTTGGAGGACAGTGATGTCTGTCCTGTTTACTCCACCCCCAGTGGTCAGGATGGTACCTAGCCCATAGTAGCTGCTTAGTAAGTATTTTCTCAAGTGAGTGGGTGAAGTTCTCTGACTGTCTCCTCTCCACATCATCTTTTCAGGTCTGTTTTCTCTTAAGACATCTCCATATTTCCAAATGGCCCCGTCATCTCTTCTCTCTGACTCATATCTCCAGATTTCCTCTCAGGCTTTCAGCTACTTTTTCAGGGAAAAATAAACTAAGGGTGTTAGTGAGATAATTCACACTAAAGTGTGCAGGACTAATGGGACTAACCATTTGTATGCCTGCCTTTTAAAAGAAGAGAGGTCCTAGTGACCCTCTCTGCCCTCCCACTATCACCAATCATAAACAGTAGCCTCGGGGACATGCTAGAAAAGTGCTTGAACTCTTTGAGCCCTGCACACCTCCCGCCTCATGGTTAAATACTTTCTGAATTATTTGAAAGTAAATTTCTGAAAGCTGTCACTCCTCCTGGGGCTTTCCACATTCAGCACTCACTGATCACCTCACATTTCTAGTGCTGGTCCTACTCACAGTTGTAATTCCCTACTTTGAGGTCCCATGTGATATGTGTTGTTGGAGACACAGAAATGTGGCGTTGCACCTGGGTCTACTACCCACCCCACCCCAAGCTCCGCACACAGAAGGACTGAATGAATGACTCCAATGGCCCAGACTCGTGAGAGAGCTTTGTGAAGAGTTCTTGCCAGCCCCTTGCTTCTAAAGGATGTTCGCTAATCCCTGTCCCACCCCCTCCCCCCCACAAACACACTGAGTTGCCATCCGGGCATGAATGAGAATTCCTAGCTAACAGGAGCATACTCACCTCATTACACCAAAGAAAGGAGCGCATGATGGTGTTTTCCCCACACCACATACAAAGCAACAAGTTATTGTTAATCGGCAGACCATGCAGCTGCTCCCTGCGCCCTGCCCCAGCCCCTAGCCGTGCTGTTCTCTGGGACGCTAGGCAGAAACCTCCCTTGACTGGGTACACGCATGGAAGCTACTGTTGTTATGGGGTGGGACCAAAAGCCAGATCTGCGAGCTTCTGAGAAGTGTATCTGCTGGATCCCTGGGCATCATGGTAGCACTTACCCCCCACTAGCGGGACCCCTGATTCTTCATTGTTTTAGGATTTCCAACAGGTGGCAAAATGTTCTCCTGTGCAGTAGTGGTGTGTAAAACACACAAGATAAAATTCATCTCGCTTGGTTATATCACCCACCATGCAAGACAGCAACTCCATTCCATCATGAGAAGGGACAGCAATTACATCAGAGCCCTTGGTCAGGCCGCTAAGTGGAGCCAGCCACGGAGGAAGCGGAGGAGAGGACTGAGCATGCAGGAGGCTTGATCCTCAGACCTTTGCTTCTGACAACACTCTCCCTTCAGCAGACCAGTGGTGTTTAAAACACAGGACCTGGGGCTGGAGATGCAGCTCTGTGGCCGAGCACGTACCTAGCATGCCTGAGGCCCTGGATTTGATGCCCAGCACCACAAACACACAAAAACACAAGACCCTGTCCTCAAGCAATGCTCTGCCCTCGAGTGGCAACCAGTACAAGCTGGTCCCCCCAAATGCACAGAACATTTTAAGTTAGTGTCCACAGGACAGTGTAGACTTTATCATTCAGCCACCAGGAGGCTTAATGAAGAATGGTCCACAATCACCCCCAACAGACTTGGCCATGAGAGTTTCTATTGCTCCTAGCCGGTCCATCAGTGTTGGTGGCCATGGGCTGTCCTAGTAGCCACCTAGAGGTCACATGGTGATTCCTTGAGAGGATTTCTGTCATCCCTGGGTAATATAGTTTTGTATGCACAAAACGCATTTCCACTTCCGCAAGAGGCTTATGGATATTCTGCTCCAAATGTTCCTCGCCAGGGATAAAAGCTCTTTAAGAAATAGAATTTTATTCAAGCCATCTTTCTGGCTTTTCTAGTCTACCAGCTCAAGCCATTGCTAATAGCAACACGTTGCTGAAGAAATGAGATTGCTTTATTCAAAGGAAGTTATACCTGACTCCAGCAGAAGAAGGAAAAATAGAAAAATCCCCTACTGATGGGAGAAAATCTAATTATGCAATAGAGGCCAGGAATTCTGTCAGATTTGTAGGGACAAGGTAGACAGGATAATGAGTTTTAGCTCAGCGCTATCACTAACCAGCTTTGTGACCTTGGGCAAGTCACTTAGCACCCCTGGGGTTCCATTTCTTCATGTGTGAAATGAAGAGTTTGGATCAGATCTATGACTTTAAAATTACTGACTGTGACCAAAAGGAATACATTTCCATGGTCACCCAGAGCACACATAAATATTCTCTCTCTCTCTCTCTCTCTCTCTCTCTCTCTCTCTCTCTCTCTCTCAAAAATTCGTGCACTTACATGGCTGAAACAAATGTTTTGTGACACAGTACTTATCTATCTATCTATCCTTCTGCCTAAAACACACTCTGATATTTTCTATCCAATAGTCTCACCAAAAAGCTGGTCTTAACCCAATAAATGGATTTCACAACTCTTAGTCATTCACCATTTGAAAAACCCTGGACTAGACAGTCATTGCTTCCAACTTGGAATTTCTCTGATTCTCATCTGATATGCGAAGTGAAAAGAAAAAAGAAGGCAAAGAGGGCGAGCTTTGGAAAGGGGACTGACCCACTCCACTGGCGTGGCCCATCTGGTACAGGTCAGGCCAGTCCATGGGGACACGCTTTCAGGAAGGACTCCCCGTTAAGCAAAGATATTAAAAGCTAAGAATGAGTACTAAGGGATACTAAGCCATCTTTTGTAGAGAAAAAACTTATGTCTTCAAAAGTACTTAAGATAGAGATGGAGAATCGGTGGGACTGCACCTTTGCCCTTGACTTGCTTCTGACAGCAGCTAGCGTCATTTCTAGAATGTCATTTGGAACTTATGCAGAGCCTTTTGTTGTGATGGCAGATTTGTGGGCCCTTCCCCAAACTAAAATACATAATGTTGAGCAACCCTTCCAGGTCACTCCTGGGCTCGTGGAAGTCTGGCAGTCGCTTGATTTCCAGTTCCCCAGAGTTTCTAAGTCAACAAGCTGAGTTAAGCCTCGTAGGCTCTATCAGGTGCTGGTTCCCATGGCAGCTGATGCTACTCCTACTCAGCAAATGCCTCATCTATGCACATGAGTGCATTAGTCCGTTGTCTTGGCTATAATTGAACACCAGAGACTGGGTAATTTATCAAGAATAGAAGTTTATTTAGATCACAGTTCTGGAAGCTGGGAATTCAAGATTAAAGGGCCAGCCTCTGGTGAAGGCCCTCCTATTGTGTCATACATGGGGAGGGGGGGTATCACATGGCAAGACAGAGTGAACGTGTCAGCTCAGGTCTCTTTATAAAGCCAGCAGTCCCACTCTGATGGGCTCGGCCAATGCTAATACGTTCCCAAAGATCCACCTCCACACACACCATCAATACATGAATTTGAGGATGAAATTTTCAGCACTTGAAATTTTAGGGACACAATCAAACCCAAGCAATAAGAAAAGGGTCTGTTTATCCTCAGAGGACTCACGCTTGTTGTGTCTTACAAAAGCCACTAGATGGGGATGTTCTCCTACATACGAAAAATTCAAAACAAAGTAATAGGAGTCATTTACAACCAGTATCTGGGGCAGGGAGGGTCTGTTACTCTTTGAAAGTCATTCAAGAACATCCAGAGGATGGAGTAATTTGGGATTATTTTCTCTTCAAGTAGAGAAGGGTTCTCATCCTTGGTAGCTGTGGTTCCAGCACTGTATACATCAGTGGTCAAGCCAGGTGTGGCCTCTCCCCAGGGAGCTCACAGTCATGTCTAAGTCCTTTGCTTAGAATAAGAGCACCTAAGTCCTGGTGGTCTCTCTAGGCAAAAAAAGAATGTCACAAGAGCCTAGAGGAGGAGAGAAGTCACAGGGTTTCAGCTGGCATGTCTTCTGTCCAAGGAAGTAGTGTGGTGCTACCCATAGGCACCTTTGGGACAGGTGGAGGCTGAGTTGGGGATCCCTGGGGGCCAGGCCAGCAGGGTCAGAGGAAGACAAGTCACATGGAGAAGTTCTGGGAAGCTGGGTCAGGAGCTCTAAAAAGCTGAATAGGTGAGACCCCAAACTGAGTCCGGGCAAGCAGTGGGACTCCAATGGGAGCAGAGGAGGTACTAGGCTGCTCCTACCTCTGGCTTTGATCAGAGAAGGCCCTTGTTAATCTGTTTTCTTATAAAATAAGTGTCATGCTCAAATGAAAAGAAAACATTCTCAAAAAAAAAAAAAAAGAGGTGGGTGGGGTAGGAAAGAGGGAAGAAACAGACAAGAGAAAAGCTTAAAAACGTTATTACCCAACTCCCCTCAAGGCAGAAGCCTCTTTCTCTGACCCTCAGGGCACAATATGGTTCCTTTGGGTAAAGACAAAAGTGTGCCTGGTTCCCGTCCAGCCCTCTGAGTTGAGAAACCACCCCATGGGTGCCACTCAGGGCAGCTGCTCCTGTGAGTTACCAGCAGGCCCCAGGCAGCTCCCACCATGGATTCCTCGAGGTTTGGACCATGTATATTCTAGCTCCCTGGCTCATAGAGAATGGTCAATAATTAAAAACAATCCAAGATAGCTAATTAAATGGTGTGCTTTCAGCAGTTATTTGTTGAACTGCATTCAGCAGTCACTGTGCCAAGTGCTGGGGGACACAGATGGGTGACATACCAGCATACCAGAAAATTCAAGCTAGACACCCAAGCAAAGCCATACACGAGGCTGTGGGGACAAGTGTGAGAGATGGTACAGATCGAAATTAGCTTCATTTAGGCATTCCACAAAGTAACACCTTTGAAAAAAGGTAAATATATATGATAAACATTAAGAACAAAATTTTAGAGAAGAAGCAGTTGTGGAGGCTAAAAGAGAAAAGTGTTAGCTGGTGGGGGATTTGGAATGTTCCAGACTAACCCATTTATCCCATAATATAGATGCTGGGGTCTGGGAGCTAAGGTGATGACTTGTGTAAACAGAAACCTGATAGGTGACCACTTGTCTCTAGATTTCCTGTTCAGCCAGGCCCCAACTTCTGCGGGAATCTGCCCACCCCAATCCCACATCCCTCCCTTCCACCACCTTGTCACAGCAAACACTATGAACCCTGAGTGTGACCACTCCATCTTCCCTCCACAGCTTCACAGTGAAGTAGAGAAGCCCCTGATGAATTTCCGTGAGAACTTCAAGAAAGACATGAAAAAGTGTGACCACCACATTGCTGACCTCCGCAAGCAGCTCGCCAGCCGCTATGCCTCAGTGGAGAAAGTAAGAGGCCAGGACACCTGGCTGGATGGAGATGTGGGGGCTTAGCGGAGAGGGTGGGCCAGGGAACCAGCTGTGGCGATGGGTGTCACAGCAGAGGCCTTTGTCCCATATGGTCCAAAGAACTCCTACCTATGCAAACAGCAGATAGGAAATGCTTCCCTGTAGCATTTGGATGAGAGCAAGAAGAGACTGCAGGTGCAAGGGTGGCTGTAGTGAGCACATGAAATTAGGCAACCCTTGTTCTTGTGGCTCCCATGCCTGATGTGCCCATGTGGCTGCTGTGTGTGGGCCTGGCGTACAGAATCTCTTCCAATGAATCACCACGCCTAGATGCCTGGCCACTTACCTTCTTGTGGGTGGTCAGCCTGGAGGGAAGGTGCTGACCCAGTGCCTAGAGAGCAGAAGGAAGCAATTACCACTGTGGGCTCCCAAGATCCAGCCAGCTGCCTCCACCAAAGCTTGGAGCTGCAGGTGGTGGCCAGTAGGGTGAGCTGCCATGAGGACCAGGAGAAGGACAGGCAGACATGGTAAGGGACAAGAGGGTCAAGGCTCTAAAATAGGGTGATTTGTGCTGCCAGTCTGCTGGAAGGTGACTCAGATTACTTTCATTGTACCTTATCACCCTGAGGGATACAGATTTCAGGACTGGGTCCAGATGCATGTTCCATTGCAAACATGACCTGTGAGACTGATTTGGGTCAAGTCTATATGCTGCTGGAAGAGACAGGGATGAGAGGAGCCAGGTTGCAGCTCCCTGCCTAGTCAGGAATGATCTGGAGGTGTCACTCTGGCTACCTGGGTCCCTTGGAGTCACCTTGGCATTGTCCACACAATCAGGGAAAATGAAGGATTTGTACTGGGAAGATGGGCCAGGCTGCATGGCCCTTGATGTCCCCTGGTTCTGACTTTTATAAACAGCTTCTCTGTCCTGTCTTTGGACCCCAGGCACGGAAAGCCCTCACAGAGCGACAGAGAGACCTGGAGATGAAGACACAGCAGCTAGAGATCAAGCTGAGTAACAAGACAGAGGAGGACATCAAGAAGGCACGGAGGAAGTCCACGCAGGCTGGTGAGCTCTGGGCCGTGTGCCTGACCAGGTCACAGGAGTACAGGAGGAGGCTGGAGATGGCAACTTTACCTGGGAGCTTGCCTCTCTCCCTGTGCGCCTTTCTTCCTGTCTTCTCCTTCCAGTGCACCATCTTCTCTCCTGCCTGCCTCAGGTCCAGGGATCTCAAAGGATGAGATGTGGGGATAGAAGGGAAGCAGGCCAGGCTGTTCCCAGGCATGGTGGAGCTGGGTGGCCCATGCTTTCCCCAGTCATGGCCTTTTAGCTTTTCCACCTCCTGCTCCAAGAGCTCACGGCCCTATCTCTGATCAGAGCCCACAGGAGTGCAAGCCCCACCTCCCACTCACCCAAGCTACCCCACCTCCCCAGGGAGTGACAGCTGAAGGTGGACTCCTCGCCAGGAGAACAGAGGTGGCATTTTCTTAATGAATAACCAGATTTCAGCTTCTCCCACCTGCCCCTGGTGAGCCAGTTTATGCTGCCACCCAGTGGTAAAAAATAGCTAATACACAAGAAGGAAGGGAAAAGGCTGGTCAGAACCAACAAAACAATTCAGTAACTATTCCTAAAGAAGCAAGTTTTAAAACATTCAAAGGCAATACATAATGCCTAATTAAGATGTATGCTGTGGAAATAGGGTTTGTGTGATATCTAAGTCCCTTTCATCTCAACTTCTGGTGAACCTGTACAGTTAATTTCATTATAGAGTGAAACAAACATTTTGAAATAAAGTGAGATAGAACTAAGTCAACTAAAAATATGTGGTATAAGCATAGCATTTAATATAGATAAATTATTGGGTCTAGAGGTGTTATAAAATAGTTTGATTCATAAAATTATTTAAAAATAAAATTAATATTGCAAAAACAATACAGGTTCATGACAAATATTTTAATCAGCACACAAGAATATAAAATGTTATTTGCCAGAAATAGTCCCCATAAGGCATCCTGGTGTTTCAATGTTTTAGGATATTTAAATTTCAACAAATTGGATCTGAAACAAATTTTCCAAACTTATTATTTAATTAGCATAGATGCAGCTCTACTTAGCTCCCTCCAAATCTACTTATACATCCATTCATGCACATGAGACGTTTTTAATGGTTGACCAATGTCTAGCTGTACGTTCATATCCAAATGTATTTCATCATTCCTCAAAAAGACTTTTAGGACTTTTAGGTTCCGTCCGAGTCTTTTCCAGTGGTGTTAGTTATCATAACTATAGCTTTGTGTGTGCATATGAGCAGATTTGCATAGAGAGAGACTGTAGATGCTGGGTCAGAAGGTTTTATTCATTTTGATGAATAATTCCAAGTTGCTTGCAGAAAGATTGCCACCAATATCATCCGTGAATACCTGTTCCTTAAATGCTCATCATTATTGCCTGTTACCAAGATTTGAAATCATGAGCGTGCTGGTGAAAACAGTATTTTATAGCCAGGTGCTTTGTTTTTAATTTGCATTTCTCTATGACCATGTCTGAGCATTTTAAAAATATAAATCATGTGTTACTTTTTTTCCCCTGTGACTAACTGACTCATAGTCTATCCCCATTTTTTTGTTGAGTGGTTGGTCTTGGTCTTATTGACTAATTGACAAAGATTCTTTATGTTAAGGAGATTAACCCTTTGTCATCTTGCAAATATTTTTCTGAGATTTTCAGAAATCTTTTAATTATCAGAATCTTTTAATATTTCAGAAATTATCTTTTAATTTTGTTCTTTGTAAAAAATTTTTTTTCCTTGTTTGTTTGACTGTTGTTGCTATTTTTCTGTATAGAAGTATTTTTCCATGATGCCTAGGTTTGGGGAGGACTGACGTAGGAAGACCTTCCACTTAGTTTTTTCTAAGTCACCTGATTTCCTTTTTCTTACTTTTTTGGGGGTGGGCGAAGGGTGCTTCAGGTGTTTATTTTGTTTTGTTTTCTTGAGATAGGGTCTACTGTGTAACTCAGGCTAGCCTGAGCCTTGCGTTAGCCCAGTCTGATCTTAGATTTGTGGTCCTCCTGCCTCAGCTTCCTGAGTGCTGGTATTTTAGACTTGTGCCACACTCCCAGCTTGTTTTAATTTTTGATAGCAAAATATCCAACCCCCAGGCTTCTTTTTCCTCACTCCAGTGCCCTAGCCGTATCCCATAGGCTCAGATTTATGCCGTTTTCATTTCTGCCATTTTCAAGACATGTTGCTTTTAGGTTTTGATTTCATCTTTTTTATTATAAATTTTTTATTAGGATATAGTCATTATATGGGGGGATTCACAGTGACAATTCCGACTAGAGTTATGTTGTACATTATTTACATTGCCCTCATCGTCTCATCCCCCTCAACCCCCTTCCCACCCCAATTGAAAGCAATTGTAAGAGATTTTTTAGTTCTGTTTCATATAGGTATATGAAAGCAATCAACCATATACCGTCACCTAATCTTCCTTCACCCTCCCTTGATTTCATCTTTGAGCCAAGAAACCCTTTACATTTTCCTGAGCAGGGCCTTTGTTTCCCTTGTTCTCGAGTCCACTATTTCTTCCTAGTTTTATTGCATTATTGTCAGATGACATGTCTCTTATTTCTCTCACTTGTAATAATTTTGTGATGAAAATCCCTAGACCTACTTTTTCAAAAATACTGCCTTCCACTGGAATTTAGCTCAGGGGTAGAGCCCTTACCTATCATGTGCAAGGCCCTGGGTTGTATCCCCGGTACCACCAAAAATAAGTAAATAAAATTATATTTATTGAACATGTACTGTGGACCAGCCCAGCCTACAGGCTTTAGAGCTTTGTCTTTAGTCTTTATACTTCCCCACAAAAAGGCATTTTAATGGTCTTTTACTAGTGAAAAAAATTATGGAAGAGAAGATAAAAAATCTTGCCCAATGCCCACGGTTGTGGTTCTGCAAAACCAGAGTTCAGACCTCTCTTATTCTAAAGACTCTGTTTGTCAACATTTTGCTGGACAGCTTGCTGCTTAGGAAATACCACTTCTTGCCTCCTTTTCCCATGCCTCCCTCTCCCTCATCTTTTGCAAGGCTACTGGAAGAAAAGACATCTGGATCCTCAGAGGACTTAACTTCAGATTGTCAACATCATCACTGTTGTTGCTCATATTAATATTCTGCTGGTTGTGCAAGTCTTCATTCCAATTGCTTTACCTATTTATCAATGTGCTTAAACTTTGCAATGACTCTATAAAGGTACAGTTGTTCTACCTATTCTATAGGTGAAGAAACTGAGGCACAGGCAGGTTCATTGACAGGGCCAAAGTCATACAGCTAATAAATAGAGGAGCCAGGCAGATAACCCAGGCATTCTGGTTCCAGAATCCACCTTCTCAACTGGCACTGTTAGAAGGATCCAGTTCCCAACCATTGGGATACCATTGAAAGGAGACACCATCTTTCACCTGCTCTGTCTCCTGGTGCTGAGGAAGTTCCTGAAGCATGTTCTCAAAATAAGGACTTTCAGATAGAGTGCTGGGAGTTTCATATTGAACATTCGTAGGGTCATATCTTGACCTCATCCTCCCATTAGACATGAGCTCCTGGTAGAAATGGGTTTGCAGAACAGCACCCACACTCTTTCCTTTGGTTCAGCACCTCTTGGAATGAAAGGGCCAGTCATTAGCCTTGTTCCAAAAGCAAAGTGAAGTTAACCCTTGACTTGGGCTCTATTTCTTAAGGCTCAGCTCTCGTGGTGGGCAGCCTTACATCCCAGTGTGGCACAGTTAGTGGGTGAGAGAGCACAGGTTAGGACTTGGGTCACATGAGCACAAATCTCCCTGTTTTCTTCTATTTTCCTAGAAGATGAATGAACAAGAGTGATGTTAGAGGAACGACTTTGAATCTATTTGAATTTAGAATTAGAATTCTACTAAAATTTCTAGAATTACTAGAATGAATCAGTTAGCTTTTAGGTTGGCTCATGAGCTTTTCCCAACGTGAGCAAAGACCATGATGCCTTCTAAGTGATCAGGAAGCTACATTTAGGCAAAGCTGTGCACTTGAGTGGTTGTTCCTCCAATGATAATGTGTGCACAAGTATCGCTGGAGGATCTGGGGTGCATCTAGGGTTTCTGCATGTCTTACCAGCTCCAGGGGGCACTGATGCTGCTGGTACTTGAACTGTTCTGTGTAACAAGGTTCTGAGGTGCTAATATGCTTAGTAATATTTGCATTACTTCATCGTTCTAGTTCTAATTACAAAATGTTTCAAACCTGCATATCATTACAGAAGCAATATAGTAGCCATTGAGATTTGATACTTAAGTTTGTTCAGATTGCTGTGCTATGAAATGAATGCTACTGAAAGAGTTAATTCCCTCTTATTGACCTGTCTCTGTTTCTCAAAGTACCCACTCCAGTGCCTGGTTTTGTACTGTTACTTACACAGGGACCACCAGGCACTTTACACTATGATTCAGAATGATCTTCTGTCGCATTCTCACACACATGGATGTGACTTTTCTCTTTTAATGCTAATTAGTATGCAGTCGCTTATGACACATTTTAAACAATCAGGATTCTCTAATGTGAAAGCAAATTGCTATCTTTAGAGAAGGAAGCATTTCTTAGGCTTAAGATGGGGTTTGGGGCAGGTTGGGGAGAGTCTTAGGAATCACTTTCCCTTGCATACATACTCTCTCTTAATGAGAAACCCCCAGCCGGAATTCTTAGTGTCTGCAATTGAGTTCAGATGGATGCTCTGAAGCTAGTCTCCTATGGTTCTGGATTGTCCCCTTCCTTCATTTTCTCTGCTCTCCTCTTCTTTTCACTCCATCCCCCAACTTTCCAATGGCCACCACGACCTCAGAGATAGGAGAGGATGTGGACATGGGCATAAGACAAGATGGAGCATAACGGAGCCTCATGGTGCCCATTGTTTTTTTCCAGGAGATGACCTCATGCGCTGTGTGGACCTCTACAACCAGGCCCAATCTAAATGGTTTGAAGAGATGGTGACCACCACACTGGTACGTGATCAGTGATGTGTGAGCATGCCAGTATAGAAGCTGACACACAGACAGCCCTGGGCAGGTGGCAGTGGCACAGGGGAACGAAATAGAGGTGACCACAAAGATAATCATTATATCCATTCTAGGGCCCATACATTCAAATCCCTGCTTTAGCACCCCCTGCTCTCTGAACTCAGTAAGGGCCAGGTCTTGTTATGTCATCCTTGGGCTGTCCTCAAGGGGTCAGGATCCATCAGGGACTTCCCTAACTGAGCTGATAGTGGTCCCTTTAGGATAAACAGCCAGGTAGTAGAAAGTGACAACCTCCCTCCACCCTCACACACAGAGAAGAGTTGCAGGTCCTTGGTATGAGATCCTTACAAGGCCTATGGATGTAGAGAGGCCTCTGACCAAGGCAGCAGACCCCATGGTGCTCTCCTGAGAATTCCCTATAAAGAGATAGCATCTCCTTGTTGGTCAGGACCTGCCTGAGTGAGACATGAAGTGTGGCTTGCAGATGGGAGAGGAGACCTGTGCCAGTTGCTCATTCCATCATCATACTGCCCAAAGCCAGCCCTGTCCATCTAACACAGGACCAACCATTACCTTCCCAGGGGCCAGCCCACCAGGGCAGATTAGAGGCCTCCTCCAGGTCAATGACCTGGTTTTCTTACCCATTAAGCTCCTAATTAAGCCCCCCCGCCTTCCCCCACTTCTTGGTTAATCACCTGGGCACTGACCTAGTTATACACAGGGTTAACAGCCTAATCCCATAAATTCCAAAGACACAGAACCATCTAGAAACCAACAGACAAGTCTTTTCTACTCTTCCCATTGATAATGGCTGCTCCACTCCCAGTCCACTCTGACTTCTCCACCTGGTCTCTGCTTCATCTCTATAGAAGCCTGGGGACAAAGCCCCAAGAGTTTGAGGGGCTCAGCGGCTCCCACATGTGTCCCATCACTTCACTTTGTCAGGGGGTACAGAATCAAGCTTAAGAATACAACAGACCCAGGTTCAAATCCTGTTCCTCCTGTAGTCCCATGTTACTTTGGGCAAATGGCTCTTCCTCTCTGAGTATCAGTTCCTTGTTTGGAAAATGGGGATAGTCACAGAATCTCTCTCTTAAAATCACAGTAAGATAATGTGTCTGAAGCTTTTCACCCTCTGTCTGGCAGAGCTGGCTTTCAGCAAATTGTGTCTGCTCCCGTAACTTCCACCTCCTCCCAGAGCTGGGCTTGTTCTTCATAGGAACCCAGAGGGTCAGATGTAGTTGAGGGTCAGGGCTTTGTGTTTGGGGAACATGGGGGTCTGAGACCCACCTGGTGGGAAGAGCCTCAAGTTAGGGGCTATACTCAGTGGTCTCTGGTCTTTTCTCTCTTGGCAGGAGCTGGAGCGACTGGAAGTGGAGAGGGTAGAGATGATCCGGCAACACTTATGCCAGTACACACAACTGCGGCATGAGACGGACATGTTTAACCAAAGTGTGAGTTCCCATCTTCAGGCCATGGCCAGCAGGAGCCTGGGGGACGAGGGGCCAGGAAGAGTCACCTGGCACTGTGCCATGGCAGGTTAAGTGGTTACTGCAAATGAACCTGTCCTGAAGCGGGCAGTGGCTCCTGCTTATGGGTAAGCTCTTGGGATGGATTTGTTAGGATTACCCCAGATGCCCACATGATCCATCCCTAGTGCTTGAAATATATGCTCTTGTGAACTGTTACCTGGGGAGAAAGGCACTTGTAATAGTTCAAACAGCTGAAAATATTATTGTCTGCCATGGTTAATGCCTTAAAAAACAAAACAAAAATACAACTTCTAGACCTATTCAAGATAGCTAAAGCTTCGGTTCCACTTATCCTATTCTTCTGGTGGCCAGGGTGGAGACACGTAGAAGAGGTCACAGCCTTTAGGACATCCTGCCCTCTTGTCCAGGCTAGATCTTCAGGGTAAAAAGCAAAGTTAGACCAGTTCTGGGCTCCAGTTTTCTCAGATGGGGACCTGAAACCTTTCAGAGAGGCTGCTGTGGTTGGTGCCCAGGCAACATCAGCATGGTGCAGAGGAGGCATCCCTAGCTCAGCTGCCTCTGATAGTGTCCCCTCTTCTCTGTCCCTTGCAGACAGTCGAGCCTGTGGACCAACTGCTTCGAAAAGTGGACCCAGCCAAAGACAGGGAGCTGTGGGTCAGAGAGCACAAAACAGGCAACATTCGCCCCGTGGACATGGAGATATAGACGCCTGTGTGGCCCTGGGGGTCCTGCTGAGGAGAGGCTGAGGGTCCCATGGAGAAGGGGTGGTGGCTCCTGCTGGTTGGAGCTGCCCTCCTACCTGCTTTCCTGGTCCTCTGAAAAGAGGGGAAAGAGCTGGTGACCTGGACAGCTCAAATGGGGGCTCCCTAATATTCCCCAGACCATAAAGATGGACCCACAGCCCTACCCTTGTCTCTGCAACTGAAGCCCCCAACTCCCATGCTGTGCTTATCACTCTGAGAACAAACCAAGGTTGGAACTCTGTAGCCTCTACTGAGCTACACAGGGGTGGCTATCACATGCTTGTGCCCCTGGGTACCCAAGGCCCAGCCTCCATTTGGCCCTCTGTCTCCAAGACTTTGGAAGACCAAGGGAGGGAGGTCTCTGTCCAGCCAATGTCAGATCAGAATCACAATAGAAGGCGCTGTTTGGCTCCCAGCCCACACCTAGAATCTTTTACAGCCCTCTTTCATTTTTAACCATTACATTCTGGGAGCTCACATCTGGCTTTTTTTGTCCACTTTTCATCCCATGGGTCCTGGGAAGAAGGCCTGGCTCCTGTCTTCCCAGACTGACCCTGCCTGAGAGGTCAGGATGGAACTACCTCATTCGGCAAATTAGCCCCAAGCTGGAGCATTGAATCATGGTTCCTATCAGATCAGGTGTGGTCTGGAAAGCCTACCCTGAAGTCCCAATTCACCCATCCTCAGCTCAGCATGCTCGGCTGCTCAAGGAAGCCCCCCAACCCCACTCTGCCACTCCTCCCCAGTCTCATCATAGGGAGCCTTCCACAGTCCTCAGCCAACAAGACTTCAGCACAGAAACCAGCAGGCACAGAGGGTCAGTTGGGGTCTGTCTGCCACAGTGTCCTCTGCACCATGGGCTGCCCTGGCCACTATTCTCCCAGGATGCCACCACAGGCATTGTGGGACTGGGTCAGTCCCACATGGGAGACAGGTCAGTGCACATCTTTGTGACACTTTTGATGGCTTCATCTGCTTGTGCACGATGGGATTGGGAGCGCTGTCCCTTGTATGGACACTGGACAGACATTGCAGATGCTCTCATGGCCATAGTAGGTTGTTCCATCTGGGCAGTGCCCTGCCACATGGCCTCCAACTCCTACTGCACCTTCCAGCCCTGTGCAGAGCCCTCACCAGATGCCAGCACCTTCTTTCCACTGCCCATCATCCCTGGAGAAGCTTGGGCCAAGTGTGACCTGGGAAGTTTCCAGCAGTGCCACTGGGCCCAACTCCTAACTTCCTCTACCACATGTTCTCCATCTTCATCTAGAGAATCAGCTGCAGGGGCTGGGAGAAGAGAGGGAACTGCAGGAAGTCACACCATGAGCAGGGAGTAAATTCTGGCTGGGAACCCATGAGAATCCATCTTTCTTAATATTTCCCATTGATGTCTTTGGATTTGATTCATTTATCTCCCATGAGGAGAGGATTCTGCAAGCACAACTCACTGATCTTTTTCTCAGTCTTACATGCTGATAATGGATAACTTATTAATCTTGAATCTTTCGGTACCTCTTATATCTAGTCAAAATTGCTCTCATAGTTTGTTAGAAAGACACCTAATATACTAAAGCAAACCAAACTTTGTCAATTTTCTTACTGAAATTTCCCAACCACAAAAACCATCTTGAAGGTGTCCACCAACATGAAGTGTGGGATCTGGGCTGGGCTTGGGCCATGATACCAGCTACCAGTTTTAGAATATTATTTCTTGGTTTCTTTATTAGAAATGGGTGCTAGTGGTAATAGCTTTGTGGCTTAGTAAACTAATTTGTGGATGATTTTCAAACACTCAGAGTCAATAGCCTTGTAATTAACACAGATGTTTTGAGTGCAGTGTGGCTCATTGACTGTCTTCTTACTCCCATTAGTAGGTTCCTGATCTTTAGGTGCTGTCTTGCCTATTCCAGGGTAGCCCAAGTTGGGCCAGTCTGGACCAGTCCATTCAGAGTTCATTCTTTACCCTTCGTCCACTTACATTCTTCTCTTTAGCCTCTTCACATACACCTTTTCTTTTATTTCTTCCCTCTGTTGTTCATTCATCAAGCATTTCTTTAAGGCCACGCAATGTACGAAGATCTAATCTGAGGACAAGATAGGGCTCTGTCATCAGAGAAGCCCATGAGCTCTTGTTCTGTGCAGACTTACCTTTTCCCCAGGATGACCTTGGCCTTCATATTCAGGTCTCTACAGAATTTAGGTTTTCAGAGGTGCTGTTGGGCTGATTTTTCACTCATTCTTTCACTCATTCAGTTTTTCAGCAAATGCTTGGGACAAACCTGGTATGCGCTGAGCTGTGAAACTGTACTTGGGTTTTAGATTGAGACGCTCTGTGTCCCCTCTTTGTAGGCTTTCTGGAAAGAGTAACGCTGTGCACTTTTCGCATTTACCCACTGTGACTAATCATAAACTATCACCATGAGTGACTGCAAGGTCTCAACAGCAACAAGATTTTAATCACCCGACTCCAACTTCAACTGTTAGACTCCAACTTCAGACATTTCCTTTGTTGGTTTTAAAGAACTCTCCTTGCTCTACAAATAGGACTAGTGAAACCCAAAGATAGCCAGAGAGTGCCATGAAATGACAAAGAACTAAGAGCAGACCCAGAGTCAAGAGTCCAGACACCTGTCTCTATAATGGGCCCCCTGTTGGTGAAATCAAGAGTAGAATGAATTCTAGAAAATCTTAAAGTGCACTTTGGGGTAACTAGCACACTATCTAGGTTCTTGGTGTCTTTTTATTTTGCTTCTCGGTGCTGAGGTTGGAACTCAGGGCGTCACACATGCTAGGCAAGTGCTCATCACTGCGCAGTACCTCCAGCCCTGTTGTCCTGTTTTGATGTGTGTCTTGGTGCTTACATTATGAAAGGATTTGGCTGGGTTTCTTTGGGGTGGGTGAACATCCATTTTCAGCTTCTGAGAACAGATCATAGCCTTGAACCTGTCTGCCTGGGAGACCTGATGCACTTAAGTTTTGTCTATGAAAGCCTGACTTAAAAAAAAACAAAAACAGTCTCTAAGATGAATGGTGTTCAAAGTGAGTTAGTTGCTACGACAACCTTCAGGAAGAGCTACTTGTTTCCTAGTGCTTTTGAGCAGTACTGCCGTGCACAGGCAATTTAGACTGGACGGTAGCCCTACAGCCTGTCATTGGGACCACCCTGAGCCTCCTTTCCATCTTTGTTCAGTTTCCTGTTGACCAAATGGGATTTCTGCTAAAGTAGGCTCTGCTGTGCCCAACAGGGCTGTTTAGTGGCTAAAGCAAACAAACTGTACACGTTTGTGACCAGCATTTGTTTCTATTCTTTTGTGAAACCAATCAATTACAGATTAGTGGATGGGTGCATGAAGATCTTGACTAATCAAAATCCCTTCTTGGAAATACAAGTCATAAAATTCAAAGGATGTCAAAGACCTTAGCTCGTTTATATGATTTTTACTCCCAATTGTGTGTAGCTTTGACAAGGAGTTTAACCAGGAGTCTAAAGACCTGCTTGTATTACATAGGCAGAGAAAAGCACTTTACGAATGTTGAGTGGGGTGGGGTTAACCTGGTTACCACCTTATTCCCATAGTTCTGCACCCTGAACTGCAAAGCTCACCACCACCTTCTATTTCCAGGGTAATCGAAGTGTAATTGACATACTAAAGTTCACTTTTCCCAATTATACAGTGGCTTTTGACAAATTTATAACCATCAAAATCAACATCTTTCCATCACTCCTCAAAATACCTTCATAACCCATTGTAGTCAATTCCCTCTTCTCACCTCTTGGCCCAGCAACCCCATTGATGTTGTGACTCTATAGTGTTGCCTTTTCCAGAATGCCATATAAGTGGAGTCACACTGATGTAGCCTTTGAGTCACTCATGAGGTTGTATGTGACAGTAATGTGTCCCTTTTCATTGCTGAGTAGTATTTCATTGCATGGGGAATGCACTGCTTCCTTATTTTTAAAATGAATCCTTTGCCCTGGAAGTCATGGGCCAGGATCTTCACCTTGTTTGCATTGCTGCTTCCTACAGCTCTCCCAAGGCTCCTCCAAATGCCAGTTGTGCTCCCAAGTGCTTCTTAGGGCTCAAACTCAATTTTTTTTGGTTCATGCTTGATTTTGGCCTATGCCAAAAGCAGCCAAGGATTGGAGGGGGACTGGCAGCCAAGGTCTGGGTTCCCCTCATCACTGCTGCAACTGCAGCTTGCATCTCAGCTGCAAGATCCACTAGCTCCTGGGCTCTCACCTCAGTCCCCATCCACCTGGCATTTATTGAGGGTTAGAGCC